GTGGAGGGCAACAGCGTGGGTGCAGCCTCAGTAATGGGTATGCCTAATTCCTTGTACAAAGTTAAGCTGTCGGGCAGTGGCACCACCGTGGTGCTTTCAAACAACCGTCAGGTGGACTCGAGTAAAGCCTTTGCGAAAATTCCTCTATTGAGCACGATTGTGACGTTACCCGCGCGGTTTGTGGTTGGGTGCAACCTGCGGGGCGGTGAGGAGGTGTCGTACGACGGCGTGTTTCCGGGGGAAGTGGTGGTATTCAGGTGCGGCACATGCAATGAAGACGCGACGTGCTACATGCCCGGGACGGAGTCGGTGGACCGCAGCTCGTGCTCGTGCAGGTGCAAGGACGGATGGCATGGCGCGTCGTGCCTTCCCCTCGAGGTGCCCGAGACTTTTTTGCTGCCCGTGCCTGAGAGAGCCGTCGACGGCGACACGAGCTGCGTGGTGAACCAGACGCTGACGAGCCTCACGCTTAACATGTGGAAGACGCACCACTGCTACGTGGGCGTGAAATTCAACGGTGTGGGTGCAGAGCTGACGTTCTTTCTCGACGGTATGCCGCTGCATCTCCCCATCAACATCACGCTCACTGGGTGCACATTCCTTGATGGGGCTGTGCTGCAGTTTGTTGGGGGAGCTGAGGCGGCCGAGTCATCCGGCGTCCTGATCCGCGTGAGCCAGACGGTGATGCGGTCCTCTGTCGTTGTGTTTGCGCTTGCTCTTCCCCAGCACTGCGACATTGCCTTCACGGAGGTTGATGCGGTGCAGTCCTCTGAGGTCCAGCTTTTGGACACTAGGAACAAAGTGCTGAGCGTTGTGACGCTGCAGAACGTCGTGTTGAATGCTTCCTCGCTGTTGATCAGCAACGTTAAGGCGCGTGCATTTGGTTACGGCTTGTTTGGTTTGTACTCGATTGGGACGCTGACGCTGGTGTGTGGCAGCTCTCTGTACGCACGGTACTGCAGCTTCGATGGATACGAACACTTGTTCTACTTGTACATCCTCAGTGTCAGTGATCGCTCTGTTTTTGCACTGCTCAACAATACAATGGCCTCCGGGACAAGCCTCTTGTATCAGCACTACGGATTCAGCGTGTCGGATCACAGCGTGTTGCGCGTGGTGGGGAACAGCGGATCCGTGTCCAACGTCATCGATGCATATAATGTGTGGACCGTCCAGCGGTCAAGCTGGCTGGATTGGCGCGACAACGATGCGGGGGTGGGTGCGATGTTTCGTTGCTCCCTAATAACTGCTGGGAGCATTGACAGCAGCAGCGTGGTGACGCTGACGGGCTGCAGGATGGGCTCAACGGGGTTGTCGGGACCTCTGCTGTCGCGGGCTGACGCCGGCTACCGGTTTGTTGCTGGGTGTCTGACGGTTGCGGGACGGGTGGTGACGACGGCGGCTGAACTGGAGCTGAAAGGCGTTACCAACGTGACGACGGTTACCGCGTGCGGGGAGTGCACGAAGGAGGGCGATTGCTTTGCTCCGCTGACGACGGCGGTCATTGACTGCAGGTGCCAGTGCGCTGCTGGAGGGCACGGCGATGTGTGCGTCCCGGCGCCTGTGCCTGCTGGTCCGCCACCGCCACCGCCGCCACCACCCACGCCGCCACCGCCGCCGGTTGGTGAGTGCATCAGCGACATGGTGTACCCCGAGGTGGCGCAGGCTGTGGGCGACGGGCTGTCGTGGCTGTGCTACCGCAACGTGACGTTCAGCGGGGGCGGCATGAGCCTAACAGTGCTGATTGGGGCGATGACGGGCGACGTGGCGAACGTCACGTTCGATGGATGCACGTGGAGGGACGGTGCCGTGCTGTTGCTGTTGGGCAACGCGTACGCCGCTGTGGGGTCGCTGAACATCGTCGTCACCGGCAACGCGTTCCGTGACGCGCTGCTCAGCCCGGAGGGTGGGTTTCCGCCGCACACGAACATCACGATCAGCGGCAACCGCTTCACTGTCACAAGGCTGGTCTCTCGGCCGGGATTGAACGTTATGAGGAAGTCGTGTGTTTTGATGAATGGACTGGCGATCAGCAATGACTCCGCGGTGGTGCTCAGTGGAAATGTGTTTCAGAGTGTGACGGCATCGTCAAGCGTCATTTACTTTGTCGGATCTTCGCTGAGGGTGTCTTGGCACTCCGTGTTTGCGGTGATGGGCAACACTTTTCGTATGGCTGTCGTTAACGGTACGCTGATACATCTTGAAGGGTCTAGCGAATCCACTTCGCTGAGTGTACTGAACAACTCTGCCGTGGTGATCCGAAGCAACGTTGTGACGAGGCCGGTGAAGTACTTCATTTTATTTTTCTGGGCATTACGTGTGGAGTCCCAGTCAGCGGTTGTGTTTCACGGCAACGACATGCAGGGAAGCTTGTTTGTGTTTTATTCAAGCTACTCCTCCAACATCTACCACAACTCCTGGCTGCAGTTGAGTGGCAACCTCTGCCGTGTATCTCCATCAGATGCCTTTACTGTTTTAAACCCCACGGTGAATCTCCGCGACTCCGTGGTGTCTGTGTCCGGCAACCGATTCATGTCCAACAGGGGAACGCCGACAGTTCTGCGGATATCCACAGGGTCCCGCGATCTCACGAACGGAGCGATTGTGGCCGCGTGCAATAGTGTGAACGGCGGGGAGGGGGCGGGGTACGGCATCCCGTCTGCGTACAATGCCACCATTTTGACCTGCGGGGACCCATGCACCCTCTTGGCGTCGTGCTTCCCCGCGTACACGACGACGGCCTCGAGTGATGGCTGCGCCTGCACGTGCGCTGAGGGCGGCCACGGCGATGCGTGCCTGCCCGTTGCTGTTCCCGAGTCATCGAGCACCGACGGCGCCGAATTGTGCGTGCGGGACGGGAGTGTGGATGTGGAGGTGAACGCCGGCTTCGGGACGTCGGTGGTGTGCTACGTTGGTGTGACCTTTGCGGCGGAAGTCGTGGTGGACGTGGAGTTGATGTCAGGGAGCGTGCGCAACGTGACGCTGGCGAACTGCACGTTTGTGGGCGGAGCGAGCCTGTACGTTGTTGGGTGGCTGTCCGACCCGTCTGCTGGCGAGCGCGCCGATGTGTTGATCAGCGGGCTTGAGTCGCGCTCTGGCGGCGGCGTACTGGTGGCGAACCGATTTCCGCCGGGCTCGCGCGTCACTGTGGTGGACTCGGTGCTGATCGCAGAGAAGCGCGTTGCGTACCGTGGCGCCTACGGCCTTGGCGACGTCTCTGCGTGCCTCGTGCTGCACAGCGTGAATCTGACGGGGAGCGTGCTGACTATCGCGCGCACGCAGGCGGTGGCGGTGTTCCGCGACTCTGTTGGCGTGCTGGTTTTTGGCGGCGTGGCGCTGCATTCGCGCGGTGCGCTGTACGTGGACGGGCTGTCGGTGCAAACGGCGCTGGGGCTGTGCGTGTCGGTGGAGGGCGGTGTTGCGGCCAGTGGCGGCTCCGTGGTGGCGTTTGTTGACAGCGACTTCCTGCTGTGCAAGCACGCGGTGTCTGTGCGTGGGGCTGTGAGCGTGTCGGGCTCCGCTGTGGCGCTTGTGCGGAGCGACTTTGTGTCGACGGAGGACTACGCGGTGGCGTTTTATTCGACGGTGAGCCTGGCCGGCGGGTCGATGCTTCTGGCGAAGGGCAACGTGCACGACGGCGTCTCGAGGGAGATGCTCTACGCCGCTGGCGCCGTGACCGCTTCTGGGAGCACGCTGAGCTTTGTGCGCAACCGAGTGCTGCTGCCGCGGATGCTGTCGCTGAGCCTTTCGCTTGCGGCTGGGGCGCATGTGAGGGTGGCGTGCAACGACGCTGGTGGCCGTGTCCTGTCGACGGCGGAGGAGTACGCAGCGGCTGGTTTTGGCGACGCTGGGAGCATCGACGGTGCTGGGTGCGACGCCTGCGACAGGGACATTTACTGCTACGCGCCCGGGACTGCGTCTGCGAGCATGACGGACGGTGTGTGCGTGTGCGCGTGCGGCAGCGGCGGGTACGGCGAGGCGTGCGTGCCTGTGGGTGCTCCCGCGCTGCCGCCCGCTGTGGGCATTGCGCCGAGTGTGTTTCTCCGCGAGGGCGTGACGGTGCACTCTGTGTTCGTTGTGCCTGCCGGCGCGAGCGAGGTGACGCTGCGCCACGTTTTGCTGGACGGCGTGAGTCCGGTGCTCTACGTGCCGTGGATGGCGCGGGACGGCGTGCGGATCGTTGTGCAGAACGTGTCGCTGCTGAACGGCGCCGTGCTGTACGTGATGGGCGGTGGAGCGTTGCGCGGTACAAGGGCGGCGGGGAGCGACGAGAGCGGGCCGGTGGAGCTGTCGGTGTGCGATTTGGAGGCGCTGAACGGTGCGCTTGTGCTGACCGGCACGTTCCCCGCGGGGTCCGCGCTGACGGTGACGGACTCCCTGCTGGTTGCCGCGAGGCCGACGCCGCTTGTGTATCTTCCCGGCTCGCGGTCCTCGCCGTACGCACCGGTGCTTGTGCTGTCGGGCCTGCGGCTCGTGCGGTCCGTGCTGGTTGTGTCCGGCGTTGCCCTCGTGACCGTGATGACTGGTGGGCGGACGGTGGTGGTGGACGGCGCCGTGCTGGGGCTCGTCGGTGGCGGTGTCGCGCTGGACGCGGCTGTGTTCGGTGGCGAATATGCGTTGTACGCGAGTGCGCGCGTGGTGGCATCGGAGGGCGCTGTGCTGCGCGTGTCGGGGAGCCAGGTGTACGCCGCGCATGGGTTGGTGTTCGACAGCGGGGTGGAGGCCAACGCGTCCGCCGTCGTAATGAACGACAACACCGGTGTGCTGACCGATGGCGCGCTGCTGGTGCTGCGGGGGTCGGCGTCGTTTGCGTCCGGGTCGTGGCTGTCGGTGCGCGGCAACAGCATCAGCGGCAGGCTTCTTTCGCTGCCGTCGTACCCGCGCAGTGTGGAACTCGCGC